TAAAAAGTTTGTAATAATTTTATTAATATTGATAAATAAATAATCTTATTACATTAGAAAAGTTAATTTTTAAATTCTTATAAAACTTGCACCTTAAATAAATAATTAAATTGTTTTTATTTTAAAATAAAATATAAATTACAAAAAGTTATTTTTTATTCAGAAATTTAATATGATAAACAAATTTAAAAACTTTTTTATATGACATTTCCTTACAGTTTGTTACAGTTTACACACAATTCATAGCATATGAGTGGCAATCATCTCACCCACACGTGGGGACAGGTATCTCATTCATGACATACACTTAATAAGCAATTTTGTTATCAAATTTATTAATCAATGGAGATAGGCAATGGTATAATTTTTTAGGCTTTTCTAATAAACTACATGTGCCCCTCGACTCGCACCGACTGTTAATGACAGTGAGTACAGGTATGTACGATATAACTGACTGTTCACTTCAGTGTATTTATATTTTTCAATACAAAACTAGTATGGTAAATATTTTAGATGTTTTATTTTGTAAATTAATTACTGTATCATATTTAATAACAATTTAATGACTCATATGTTTGCTGTTTAAGTATTAATATAATGTTTGCAAAATAAATGTAAGTTTACTGTAGTTTCAAAAACAATTGTTCACAGCATAAGACACTTATTATAATTGATTTCAAAGTTATGGCTCACAAGTTAGACACAAATATTTATTTTTACAAATCATATGCTTTTGACAGTAAGTGTATAATTTGATTAACAATATAGTTATAACACATATAATGTATATCTCTAGACATGGGATCAAACAAAACGTGATCTCATGTGAGAGATATGTATTGATAATGAATTGATTGCCACTTATTTCCCGCTATTTGTTTGCAAATGACAATAATGTGTTTGTGCAAAAATGTTTTGGAAATGTATTCAATACTTTAAATTTATTTTGTGATTTAGTTTAGTTCACACACCACTTACATTTGTTACCCAGTATAATTGTAAAATATTCAGCATTATTTTGTACACTAAATTAATATTAGAAATTTTATGTAAGTATGAAATTATTTATATATTTTATTACATGTATACTAATTATAAAGTAATACACTTCTGGTAAAGTATCTTGGTAAGCAAATATTGTGCAATACTTTCTCAAATATCGGTTTCAATTGTGAAGTTATAAAATATATTTCGATATAAATTGATAACTACTTGAAATACAAAGCAAATGTGAATTCAATATATTTAATGTGAATTCATATCTATTTTAAATACATGTCTCCACTCTATTCGCACCGAAAAAGTAGTTTTTGTTGTTTTTTAGTGTCAAGTTAACATCAAATTACACATAAAGTAAACTAATACTACATTATATAGTCTATAAGTTTTTTCACTACTTTTTTAAAGTGCAAAACTTAATTGAATTCTTCGTAACACATGTGAGAGACAAATGTTTCGCAAGAATTTCATCGAAAAATTTTTGATATTTTTGTACTAAGACTACAGACATTGTGAACCACTTTTCGACACATTATTATACATTTGATTAGGGATTTCGTGAATATTTTTTGTGATTAAGTTTTTAGGCGTTTACTATAAATTTCTTATATACAGTCATTTAACCGTTAATAATGTAATTAACATTTTGTATTGAGATTTATATGAAAGGCTTTTTAGTGAAATAATATTATGATATCATATGTGTGTCACTAATGCTAAAACACATGATATAACTCATGGATTAACTCATATATACGATGTTTGCGTGGATTAGCGGTTCATATCATAACTGTTTTAATTCATATGATTTTTGCAGTAAGTCTTGGGTTTGGTATCCAAATCACGACTTAATTAAGGCGTTCATGTGATCGCCGTTTGATCCCTTAATACACATTGAATTTTGGCTAATAATAACAATTACAGCCAAATATGAAGTTATACTTGGTCATATTAATTATTACTATTAAAATCGTATATTGTTAATACAATACTATCAAGTGTGTCAATAATCAAGAATAATTAAATTACCATATATACTGTATGATTTATACATCCTATACTTAACTAGTACATTTTATAAATAGCGTTAAATATGTAGAGTACGTTATTTTATTGTTACCGGTATTAAGTTTTTACCATTATTGAAACAAAAACTTTTTTGTAATGATTATGATAATGATTATGAATAGTGTAGTTACTATGAAATTAAAATATTTCACTTTGATCATAATCTTAGTCTTAGCACACGTATAATATATTCAAAATTACCTTGATTTGTCAATTCATGACAATCAGTGTGTACAAAATTGATCTAGTAAATTCATAACACACATTAGTGGTAAATTCATATGATACCTACATAATACTGTATTGTCTAATACATGAATATAATGAATATAAATACACACTATGAATATAAATTACTACAAATGTCTCAACAAACTCATAAATACTATGATATGTAATATTTAATTTGTCAATCACCTATAATAATTTGAAAACTACTGCATACACTACATAAAAATATTTGCCCACATAAATTAAATACCGAGTACAGTACAATAAATTTAAATAGCTATATCGTTATAGTGATCGTGCAAAGTTTTTCACTAATAAGTTATTAGCAATAACTATAAATATTTATATATTATATGTAATAACAAGTAGTAATCATAAGCGGGATAACAGTTGCAGCGTAAACAGCCGTCAAACAAAAATCATATGATTAGCGATAATCAGCAAAAAAGTTATTGAAAAACTATTTTTAACCGTAATTTCAATTGACTTTTACTTTTAATTACTGAATCACAAAAACTTTTTGCACATCATTTATGGGACGCTATGTTAACTCAATGAGGAAATGAGTCATACGTAGAGTGCGAATGCCATCGAAAAACAGTAAATAAACAAAAAAATCCCTAAATTTATGCGAAAAACCATTTAATAATAGTTTAATTTAAACGCACTTTCAATGCGATTATCATATGTTTTATGGTTTATCACCACTTAATGTACACTTAATTATAAGCTATTCATACGTTAACTAATGGTAACTATAATTAAGTTTTAATTATATTTTAATTGCATTTTAAAAGTCAATTCAAATCCCGTTATCATTGCAGGCAATGGTCTTTGAGGCGCCCTTTGACTATCAGTTCCGGTATTTGCCATCAATTGTCTCATTTGTCGCGACCATCGCTCCCATCATCACCACTACTGCATCCATACGACGACATACCACTCATTATCCGTGTCTATACACCCCCTCCCTGTCCACCACACATAACTCGTGACCCCATTCCTCCACAGTGTGTGTGTGTTATCTCCTATAAGATCACGGACTAAGTGGTGATGCGAGCGATGGCGGCGACGACTGACTATGGGATCAATTAAGCGAAGAACTAATCCATCGATGGTATCCACCCATTGATAGGCTAATACTGATCGGCGACTCGACGGTCGGCAAGTCGACGCTCCTCCGGGTGTTCACCGATAGCTCGTTCACCACATGGAGTGACCCGACAGTCGGTGTGGACTTCTTCGCCAAAATCATAACTATACGCAACGGAAGGGTACGAATCAAACTCCAGTTGTGGGACACCGCCGGACAAGAGAAGTTCAGGTGATTATTGTCTCTCAGCAGTGGTGGTCACACATGTGTCTCATTGTGTCACTCGATGTCTGATACCTAATCCGGTGGTCATATGTTGCCTCAGCGTATGACTAGTGGTATGCGGTATCTCATCCGGTGGTCACACCTGTGATCTCAATACGCGATCAACCATTTAGTGTCTCATCCGGTGGTCACTATATGTCTTAAGTCTTAATTGCATGAGAATTAGTGTTGATATCTAATCGGCGGTCATATGTTGTCACTCAGCGTATGACCACTGGTTTGGGTATCCCATCGATGGTCACTATATATATCTTAACACCACTAATGCCAACACTTTTGATATCTTGGCAACAGATCCATAACCCGGTCCTACTATCGCAACAGTGTCGGCGCACTCCTACTGTACGACATGACCCGGCGGCACACGTTTGACCACCTCGTGGACTGGCTGTTTGAGGCGCGGCGGCACATAGAGCCCAACCGCGCCGTCTATCAGATCGTGTCGTGTAAGTCGGATATGTTGGACGACCGGGAGGTGACCGGCGAGGAGGGGAAAGCCTTCGCCGACTTCTATCGCATTAACTTCATCGAGACCTCCGCGAAGGACAGGTATGTCGCCATACGTATGACTCCCTCCAGAAAGATAGTGAACACCCGTTTCCCTGACAAACAGGTATAACGTGGACGAGGCGTTCCGGTCGATAGCCGAGGAGATCTACGATAAGGTGGAGTCCGGGGTGTTTGAGGTGGAGGAGGGCTGGGATGGCATCAAAAAGGGCGGTACTATCGACGCGAACGGCATTAATGTAGGCGCCGATGAGGCGAATAACAATCGCGGTCTCGATAGGTCCGGGGTATCGGACAGCGGGTCCAGTAATTGTTGCTTTTATTGACCACAAACTCGTATTGAATTGAGTTTTTTGTTTGTGGGGTATATATAAACTGTATATTTAATGACACACACAATACAAATGCTTTTAAAATTGTTGTGTATTTTTAAATGGCATTTAAGAGCTGTCCGTAAATCGCTAGTCATATGAGAGAAACTGCTGTTTTTATTTTAAAAGTGAAGTTTTAAACTTAATTTTTATATTAGTTTTTTAAACACAAAGATTTTTATTTTGTTTTTTCAGACAAATTGACTGCAATTTAAATTATTACTTGTATTGTAATTAAACCACTTATGAGTATCTCATTAGTCATTGATTTGTATTTTTGAGTTGTTTTTTAACTGATTAAGTGTTTTACGAGCGAATTGTTTGCACACAAAATACTTGACGATTGAATAGTTTATGAACTGTTTTTTGAGTCACAGATTGTAGTGTTTGTGGCGATTGTTTAGTAGATATGTAATGAAATTTTTATATTTTTGTGCACTTTTTTTGTTACCCTAATGGGAAGTGTATGAAAAATATTTTATACTATAGTTCCTCAACTCTATTATATGTATTAATTAATTGTGAAAAAAAGTATTTTTAAAAAACGATTGAATACTAATTGACTGATTGGATGAGTGTATGAAACAAATGCTAAAAATATTAATTTCTATACCTTTTGCGCTAATGATTACTAATTTGTTTGCGAAAAACACACACTTTTTTCTATACATTAACTAAAATTGTCTAAAATGTAACAAATTTATCGAAATTTTTTATGACAAACATATTGTTTATAATTATAATTATAGTAATAACTGGTTGTGTAAACCCTTTCACTGGATAATGTGATTAGCATTTGTATGTAATTTGCAAAATCCCGTACAATAATTCAATACTAACTTGCTGATTTTATTTAAATACTTTTATTATTACGAGCTGTAAATATCTATTTGAAAAACAATTGTATATTTTTTTATAAATAAATTGTAATGAAATCTAAATAATTATCAAATGAGTTGTAATGAAAATTTATTTATAAATAAAACACTTTATTAAATGAAATAAATGCTTGTTAATTATATAAATATAATCTATTGTAAGCGTATAGTTATTCAAAATGTATGTATAAAATTAAATATTAGTATTTATCCAGGTATATTTAGCAGTATAAATATTTTTATATACACAGAATATTCTGTACGGGAATTAATAATTTAACGCTTAATATATTAATTTATTTATTAGTGTTGAATAATAACTTGAATGGACTCTCAAATCAAATATTTGAACACAAATACAATTATAGCTCAAAATAGACATCAGTTTTATTACATTAAGCATCCATTCCCTCATCCCGTAATCCCGGTGCTCATCCTTGACCTAAATTCTCGCCTCACGTACAGTCCTCACGTAAGGAGTGATGAAAATGTGATACAAAAAGCTAACAAAACTATAAAACTATTAGATTTTGTGAATAATATTTGAATTATTAACTAAATGGACGGCATATCTGTGTGTATATGTTTGCTATCTGTATGTCTCTCGGGATTTCAAATCTCATTAATATTTATGTCGAGAAATATATTTTTTGTTATTTGTTTTCATTAACTTTTTTGAATAAAAATGATTTTCATTGGCAACAGAAATGAGTCAATCAATCATTGTTTTGGGATTCATATTATCGGAAATCATTAAATTTTGTTGTTTTTTGCGCTTATTTTTGTTAATTCCTATGAATTTTGCGATATATTATCATATCGTAGCCGTAATTACCATAATTTATAATGATTTATACATTTATAATCATATTAATACACACACAGAGAATATTCTGTGAACTAATACACACACAGAATATTCTGTTATAAAACTATTCTTATATAAAAAATTCTTTACCATAACTTCCATGTATATAATATACTACAGTATTAACCATAATACTCAACAAAATAACAATTAAAACAAGTGTTAATTCATAAAACAAACATAACAAAAATTTACTAGCGCAAAAAAGGTGATAAATTAATTGTTTCACACAATTATTACTGTAATCATTGAGGCATACGTGTATATACATGTGTGTAAAAAGCATTTTTGCATTACAAACATGTAATCAAATTGCATAGAAATCATGCAATTTATTGATCAAAGGGTGTGGAAGTGATTCAATATCTCTGCAAAATTCTTGTGGGCGACACACCTATCCATTGCGCGCCGGCATTATAATCATAGATAATGTACCAGCACTGGTATGCCCAATACACTAATATCTACCTAAATGTGCTCAATATTTATGAGCTAGCTGAGCTGTAAACACGGAATTGTTTTCATTGACTAAATAAACACCACTTTTTGTGGCCATTATTTGCCCGAAAACAATGTCATAAAAAAGTTTTTATTTTCAATAAAAATGTCTAGAAATTGAGTCAAAAGTATGTTTCCCAGAATCCCTAACCTATAATACCTATCATCCATTTCCCACAAATCCATTTCCACTCTCAATATATCATATCTTTCGCCGTAATCTACACTTAAAAATATTTATGTCATATATATTTTGCACACAAAACTTGATTTTTGATTAATTGAATCGTTATTTACATATCAATACACTATTTATAAACTCTTTTCTTGCGATACTTTTTTATATGAGTTTATAAGACTAGTCGTTATACTATACATGAGATTAACATCTTTTTCTACTCGTAATGAATGCTTGAATAATTAAATTTGTGTTTCTTTGCCATGAATTATGAATTTTAGCCCTAAATTGACGATTAGTTTAAGCGTTAGTTTGTTTTTTGTTAGTAATTATTAAACATTATATTAAAAGTAAAACATGTTTCTCATGTGAAAATCATTGTTTTTCCCAAAACATAATCAAAAACTAAAATAAAGTGCTTGTATGAAAATAAAAAATCATAAATATTTTGTGTGCTAACACATTTAACTTAATATTAGACATTAATTATACATAATAAACTTATTCATAAATTCAAAACATTAATTACTATTACTATCTAACACTATATAAAAATTAAACCACAAAACAGATCATAATAATCACAACTTTTTATTACAATATTATTTTATATATTTTATTATTATTAATAGTATTACCAATAAAATTCTCTCAAAATTTATTTTCAAATTTAAATATACATTATATATATATATATAATATAATATAAAACTCTAATGGACTCTTATATAATCAAATAATTTGTATATAGATTTTCTATACGGCATTCAAACAATTCATATATGAATTACAAACATAAATATATTACTAAACAATGATTTTTGGTCGAGTATGCGATGAGTGGGCGGCGCCCGTCGATCCCGACCCCCTCGACAGGGACGGGGCCGGGGATGAGTTGGTCGGGGATGCCTGGGCTCGGTTTGACGACCTCGTGGGCGACGAATGGGAGTGGGAGTGAGAGGAGGCGGACGTGGAGGGCGGGGGTGTCGGTGTCTGGGGTAGGGAGGGCTGCGATTGGCTCGTGTGGGGCGATGTAGCCCTGGTATGGGTGGTGGCCGACGAGGAGGAGGAGGAAGAGTGCCCGCTGGCCGTCGATCTCATGCTGGATGGGGACAGGGGTGGGGTTTGGGTGGCGTTGGCGAACCGTTGGACAGCCTCCGACACGTTAAACACGGTTTTGTCGTCATATCGCTCGTCCTCGTGGGTGTAGTACACGGCCCCCTGTTTTCTGTACATTATGATGACCGCGATGATCACGATGACCAGGGTGATGATGATGAGCAGGGCCAGTACGAGACCGACGTTAGGCTCCGTGGTGGACATCCGGAGCTGAATGGTGGGGTCGGCGCACCATTCCTTTCATGAGTGGTATATAGTGTTTAGATTTGCGTGAAGTTTGGGAGAAGTTATGAACTTTTTTTTGTTGAAAAGTTATGAAATTTTGTTGTAATCTATTTTAATCTCTAGATAAATACGTTAAACACGTATACGTGGTATTAATGTAGCTAGCTAATAGCTAATGTATCAACTAATCCCGGCGTTCAGACATACCATAAGTGCTAATTTTGTTTGTTTTTCACCAATTTGTCATTTCAGGTGTCATTTTGCTAGAGGTTTATGAAATTGATGGACAAGTATTCAATCACTTGCTCTCTCTCTCTCTCTCTCTCTCTCTCTCTCTCTCTCTCTAAAATGTTTTTCTCCCACAAAATTGAGTCCACAATAAAAGTCTCGCAAACAGTATATTAAGTTAAATGAAAGATATAGTTTAATGAAAGAAATAAAATNCTCATAACAGGTATAACGTGGACGAGGCGTTCCGGTCGATAGCCGAGGAGATCTACGATAAGGTGGAGTCCGGGGTGTTTGAGGTGGAGGAGGGCTGGGATGGCATCAAAAAGGGCGGTACTATCGACGCGAACGGCATCAATGTAGGCGCCGATGAAGCGAATAATAATCGCGGTCTCGATAGGTCCGGGGTATCGGACAGCGGGTCCAGTAATTGTTGCTTTTATTGACCACAAACTCACGGCTGATATATAGAGTATTGAATTGAGTTTTGTTTGTTTGTGGGGTATATATAAACTGTATATTTAATGACACACACAATACAAATGCTTTTAAAATTGTGTATTTTGAATGGCATTTAAGAGCTGTCCGTAAATCGCTAGTCATATGAGAGAAACTGCTGTTTATTTTAAAAGTGAAGTTTTAAACTTAATTTTTATATTAGTTTTTTAAACGCATAAAGATTTTTATTTTGTTTTTCAGACAAATTGACTGCAATTTAAATTATTACTTGTATTGAGTGTAAACCACTTATGAGTATCTCATTAGTCATTGATTTGTATTTTTGAGTTGTTTTTTAACTGATAATGTGTTTTACGAGCGAATCGTTTGCACACAAAATACTTGACGATTGAATAGTTTATAAACTGTTTTTTTAGTCACAAATTGTAGTGTTTTGTGGCTATTGTTTAGTAGATATGTAATGAAATTTTCTATTTTTGTGCACTTTTTTTGTTAACTTAACGGGAAGTGTATGAACAATATTTTATACTATAGTTCCTCATCTCTATTATATGTATTAATTAAATGCGAAAAAAAGTATTTTTAAAAAACGATTGAATACTAATTGACTGACTGATTGGATGAGTGTATGAAACAAATGCTAAAAATATTAATTTCTATACCTTTTGCGCTAATGATTACTAATTTGTTTGTGAAAAACACACACTTTTTTCTATACATTAACGAAAATTGTCTAAAATGTAACAAATTTATCGAACTTTTTATGACAAACATATTGTTTATAATTATAATTACAGTAATAACTGGTTGTGTAAACCCTTTCACTGGATAATGTGATTAGCATTTGTATGTAATTTGCAAAATCCCGTACAATAATTCAATACTAGCTTGATAATTTTATTTAAATACTTTTATTATTACGAGCTGTAAATATCTATTTGAAAAACAATTGTATATTTTTTTATAAATAAATTGTAATGAAATCTAATTAATTATCAAATGAGTTGTAATGAAAATTTATTTATAAATAAAACACTTTATTAAATGAAATAAATGTTTATTATTTAAATAAATATAATCTATTGTAAGCGTATAGTTACACAAAATGTATGTATAAAATTAAATATTAGTATTTATCCAGGTATATTTAGCGCTATAAGTATTTTTATATACACACAGAATATTCTGTACGGGAATTAATAATTTAACGCTTAATATATTAATTTATTTATTAGTGTTGAATAATAACTTGAATGGACTTTCAAATCAAATATTTGAACACAAATACAATTATAGCTCAAAATAGACATCAGTTTTATGACATTAAGCATCCATTCCCTCATCCAGTAATCCCGGTGCTCATCCTTGACCTAAATTCTCGCCTCACATACAGTCCTCACGTAAGGAGTGATGAAAAATGTGATACAAAACGCTAACAAAACTATAAAACTATTAGATTTTGTGAATAATATTTGAATTATTAACTAAATGGACGGCATATCTGTGTATATGTTTGCTATCTGTATGTCTCTCGGGATTTCAAATCTCATTAATATTTATGTCGAGAAATATATTTTTTGTTATTTGTTTTCATTAACTTTTTTGAATAAAAATGATTTTCATTGGCAA